TTTTGTAAAAATTTTTTTTACATATATTAATATAATAATAGACTAACATGTATTGCAATGCATTTCAAAATTTAAATATTAATTATATAACAAATTTTTATTCAATAAAAATTATAAAAATATCTTTTTTAATATTTAAAAAAATCATTTGAAATTTTATTAATATATTTAATTTAATAAACTCTTATTTAAAATTTAAATTATAAAATTACTTTAATATATTAATTAATTTTATGCATTATATTTTTATTTTGATGATTATCTTTAATTAATAATTTTATATTATACATTAATTTTATAAATTGATTCTCCTAAAATATAACCTTTTATATATGTGTTTTCATATGTTTTTTTCATGTTAATTCATATAAAAAATAATTTATTTTTTTGAAATATGACAAAAAAAAAACCAAAGAAAAACATTTAAATAATTTAAATGACAATATTAATTGATTAATTCTAAAAAAGTTATATTTAATTTTTTTTTTTGATTTTTTAGACTAATATTTATTAAATAATAATATAATTTTTAATTTTTTAAAAAAATTTAATTTAGCTATTGAAATTATATAAAATAGGCATTCATTTGTTATTAAGAAAAAAAACAACATAAATAGATTCATATATTGTAAGGAAAGAGGAACTTTGTCAAACAATATGTATATTGATCAAAAAATTATAAAAAAGGACGAAATAAATTAGATAAACCTAATAACATTATGGCTAAATAAAGTATCAACTTCTAGTTTTTCTAAAAATCGTCATTAAAAACATGTCTATTAACACTCAAGAATATTTAATTCTAGTTTTTGCCATCAAATATTTTATAAATATTATTTTAATCTTTTGTTGTCTTGACTTCGATAAGTCGTAATTAAAACTAAAAGTATTCTTTTTTCACATTAAAACTTTATAGGGTCAATGCAATAAAAAATATTTTTTTATTGATCATTTGTAGTGTATTGTTACACCTCTTTCAAAAGATTTTAACAATGTATATCAAATGGGTTAATTGAACCTTGCTGCCGTTTTAAAGGCTCGGCAGCTTTTCTCCATAAGTTACGATATGCAGTAATCGACACAGTACATTACTTGTGTACACAAAATCAGTGCAACGCTGACAATATTCACTTATATGATTGCATGTGTACTAAATCTTTTACTGCAATAAAAATGAACTCGCCTGGAAAAGATTCCATTAAAAAGGCTATCGAAGATCATTTTTTATGTAATCTCAATATTGATAATTTCTCTATTCGTAACGGACCGTTTAGCAACATTATGTTTGCCCGTACAGGCGGAGAAGAAGTTGTTCTTAAATATATAAAAAGCGTTCGTTATAATAATGAAGAGGAGTATTACAAGATATTTGTTAGAGAGGTATACATTTCGAATAACATATTGGGTTAAATGCTCATGTTTATGTGGGATTTAAAATTTGTAGGTAAAAAATATAAATAAAATAAATATTATTGATAACGTTAATATAATTAAATTACTTGGCGTTAGCAAAGGTAAATTCTTATAGTATAATTATAATATTTTGTTCGTTTATAATTTTATTGATATCTGTTATTTATCTGGAGTGTATTTGAGAATATACTTGAACATTCAGACGGCTTCCGTTATCTAGTTTAGGTCATTTGAACGGTCTTTATTGTATGGTATTTCGATGCGCTTCTGAAGTTAATCTCAGGACATACCTTGAAAAGAAATTTTCAGAATTAAAGTGGTCCACAAAAATAAAAATGGCAAAAGACATCGCTAGTGGCTTGAGTTCTATTCATGATAAAAACATCGCACATCGTAATTTGGTGAGTTTATTTGTTTTTTCAAAGTA